TGGTTCACTGAAGTCTGCGTGAGAGACAGATCAGTTAGCTTTGCACTTCGGAGCTGGCGTTGTTGATTTTTACTGATTGTACCTTGAGGGTTCTTGTAGATAACTTTGAGAGGGTCACTGTTGGACCTGGAGAGGAGTTGATCAGCAGAGTCCGCTAGCTGCTACAGCGTCTTACATCTAGTTCTGAGCAGACCTTGGCTTTGGGTTTTCCAGCTCTTAGTCCTGAGCTGCATGGAAGTTCACTGAGGTTCTTCAGGTTTGGCTCTGAGGGTCGGCTCGGCAGAATCCAGGCTGGATTCAAAGTCACAAAAGATTCACTGAGAGTCTAGGCTTAGGCGCTGACCAACTGGATCAACACTGCGGCGTTGAGGCAAGGTCTGAAGACAGCTTATATAGTGGATCCTCTGATGATCTGATGGGCTGCAGCTGTGCAGGAGGCTCACTCAGAAGGATCCACGGCGGACTCTGCTGGAGAAAGGTGGAACTTCTCCAGCTCCCAACAGCAGCATTCTATATCCAGCAACTGTAGCATCTAGGCTAGAGCTGTCAGTCTGTTAGAGAATCTGGTTGCTAGTCAAAATTCTAAAGGTGTAGTGGTCTCAGGAAGTTGGACCCAGAATTCAAGGCGAGACAGGCAGTGGGAAAGTTCAAAGCGTTTATTAACCAAAACAGGTGCGCGGGACTGCTCGTCTGCTGCGGGGCGGATATCTGCAGGGATAGGAGAATACAGGTCAGAGACTGGATGTGGAGCTGAATGCAACTTGCAGCTAGTCACTAACCTGATTCAAAGTTCAGTCCGTTCGCAGAGCTTTGACCGCTGTTGTGGCGGCCATGCCCCCAGAGTCCCAAGAGAGCGAGCAGCAGACGCCGAGCAGCAACAGAGTCCAGAAGGGAAATCCAAGGCCGAAGTCAGAAGACAGTTCCAGGTTCAGAAGCCGGTAGAATCCAGGACCAGATGCGACAAACATAGCAGACAGGGGCAAGGCAAAACTCGAGATCCACAGGGCAGAAAACTGGTCATAATCAGACAGACTACAGAATGCTCGGAAACGTCTCACCAAAACACACAAAAAACCTCGCGCTGATGGGAGGCAAACACACAACTTAAGTAGTAGAGGGACCAGGTGGAAATGATCGGCGATAATCAGCCGCAGAACCAATTAGACAGGGGAAAAAGGGAAAAACCAAACCATCAGCGCCAATATCATGACAAAAGGTTAACTGTTTCATAAATTTGATGATAAAACTCACTAAAACTAGACTAAAACCTTTTTGAGTTTTAGTCGACTGAAATTGACTAAAACTATCACATATACAGTGGCGAGAACAAGTATTTGATACACTGTTGATTTTTCAGGTTTTCCCACTTGCAAAGCTTGTAGAAGACTGTAATTTTTATCATAGGTACTCTTCAACTGTGAGTGATGGAATCTAAAACAAAAATCCAGAAAAATACAATGTATGATTTTTAAATAATGAATTTCCGTTTTATTGTGTGAAATAAGTATTTGATACACCAGAACAATGAAACTTAATATTTGGTACCAAAACCTTTGTTTGTAATTACAGAGATCAGACATTTCCTGTAGTTCTTGACCAGGTTTGTACACACTGCAGCAGGGATTTTGGCCCACTCCTCCATACAGATCTCCTCCAGAGCCTTCAGGTTTCGGGGCTGTTGCTGGGCCACACGGACTTTAAGCTCCCTCCAAAGATTTTCTATTGGATTCAGGTCTGGAGACTGGCTAGGCCACTCTAGGACCTTAAGATGTTTCCTACGGAGCCACCCTTTACTTGCCCTGGCTGTGTGTTTTGGGTCATTATCATGCTGGAGTGCTCTTACTGAGGGAAGGAGGTTGTTGGCCAAAATCTCACGATACATGGCCCCATCCATCCATCCCACAATATGGTGCAGTCGTCCTGTCCCCTTTGCAGAAAAACATCCCCAAAGAATAATGTTTCCACTGCCATGCTTCATGTTTGGGATGGTGTTCTTGGGGTTGTACTCATCATTCTTCTTCCTCCAAACATGACGAGTGTTTTAAAAAAGTTCTATTTTTGTCTAATCAGACCACATGACCTTCTCCCATTCCTCCTCTGGATCATTCAGATGGTCATTTGCAAACATCAGACGGGCTTTGACATGCGTTGGCTTGAGGAAGGGCACCTTGCGTGCACTGCAGGATTTTAATCCTTGACGGCGTAGAGTGTTACTGATTGTTTTCTTTGAGACTGTGGTCCCAGCTCTGGTTCTAGTTCTGGGCTCATTCCTCACCTTCCTCAAGATCAATGATGCTCCACGAGGTGAGATCTTGCCTGGCGCCCCAGACCGAGGGAGATTTTCCGTTATTTTGTATTTCTTCCATTTTCTTATAATTGCACCAACTGTTGTTGCCTTCTCACCAAGCTGCTTGCCTATTGTCCTGTAGCCCATCCCAGCCTTGTGCAGGTCTACAATTTTATCCCT